CCATAGAAAACAGTGCAAAATCAGACCAAAAGGGCGCCGCCTGTTGACTCTCGGGCAGCGGTTGGCCTCCGTTGTTTTCACTGGAAACTCAAGATTATGGCCAGAAGATGACTTTTGGTTTCAATTTTATGGGTTTAGCCAGGAAAAATTTTTTTTCGCCTTTCCCCGGATAAACCCCCCAAAGTAAAACTACGCGCGAAGCTCTGAATGTAGCCGCCCGCCTCTGTCCAAAATAGGCCCACAATTTGGGGCCTTTGTCAGTGAAAGAAATACCCCCTAACTGGAAACTTACCAGTCCAAAATTCGGGATTTATATAGAAATATTTCTATGATCCCTCGTCTGATTGTAAAACCCCGTCGGATCACACAACATTAATGAGCTCATGCGCAGAAATACGATGTGGAGTGCAACCTACAGGATCCCCGCTTTTATTGCAAGTCACGCGATTTGCATGCATACGGTGTACGTGTCCGTGGTACCCCCCCCCCCGCCCATCGTACACCGAAAGAATACGATGAAATTTTCTTCCGTCAGATTTAATACTCCGGCGCAGGTCTCCAACTGTTTTTATGTGACAGCTCAACAAACAGACTTTCAAAGCTTTTTTCCCCTCAGTCTCATAACTGTGAAACTGGTTTTGAAGAGAGTTTTGACTTGCTCACCAAAACTGACGTACATTTAGACGCTAGACATCTACAAATCCTATGAAACTGGTCTGAAAATTCGAAGTATATCTAAACTTTGCAGCAGTTTGGTATTACAGAGTAAATGCTTTGAAATTTTCCCTGCCAAATTTGACTCTGTAGGACATGTTATTGCTCTCTGATGCCTGATATACCATAAAGCCAAAAGGGAAACGTTAGCTATGTCCGTACACGGAACTCATCAATGAATCCTTTTTACAGGTCACTGACTTTCCAAAGTTCCCGTGTATGAAAAGAACCTTGCATTATCACAACTGAAAATGAAGAATCAAAAGACATAAGACCTGAAATTTTCCTTGCTTTCAACTGTAAATAAAAACACTTGAGATAACCCATCCCATATATCCTAAATTAATGCTAACGGTATGGTGCTCTTAATTAAAAAGACACAGAGGCTAATCAATAACAAAGCAGTCCAGAATAAACTAGGTCTATTAAGACATAATAAAGACATGCTACATTGATTGCTAACTCACTATTACAGAGTGCTGCTAATAGGAAATGTGGTAAATGCTAGGCATGATCACAAATAATGTCAAACAAAAGTCCTTGACTCATACAAACACCCTGTCAGACGGTAACCTGTGGTGAAAAACCTGAGTTCTAGGTTGAAATGCTCTAGGACTACTTTAATGGATACAATTTCAGACCTCTTTGCAGAGAAAAAAAAGATTATACATCGTGTATAAATTAATTTGCCTAGACACCAATTCTTAGCCACCAATTATTTTCATTAAAAACAACTATATTTGGACCTCCAAAAATGCTACTAAAACCAGTTTTTGGGTAACAAAAACTAGTCTTCTATCCAGACTTTGAAAGACCACAACTAGAAAACTGTCTAAGATGAAGCAGATACTTGTTATACCCAGGTATTTGGAGACACTTTTCCATGCAACTCTAAGTGGGGTCACTAGACTGGCACCCTGACTTTTACAACTTTATAGCCCAGCGTAACCCCACAGTTTTGATATAAAGCCCTGTTTTGTCTTTCTTTTTAACATTTCAGTAACTTAGAGCCTGTAGAAAATATTCACCTTATATTACAAAAGGCAAAAGTTACAAAAATAAAAAAGAGATAAAGCAAATGAATATAGAAATCTGAGAAAATGAGGCACAAAAGTGCATAATAATCTGAGTTCTCACATCTGTTCCATTTTACTAAAGTTGACTACCGTGCTTAGAGTTTAAAGACCAATTGTATGTGAGATAAGAGGTCTTGAAGTTCCCACTTGACAACATTTTCCCGAGGGCCATCTTCTTTTCACCGTCTCCTATGTGATCATAGACCCACTGAACAACCTGCATATGAGAAACAAAACTCGACAGTGAGATAACTCAGCTCTGGAAGACATTTATGACCCAATCCTGAAAAAAAATGATATGGAAGGCTGTATGTACAGTAAGGGCATTCAGAAATATGAAACTCAACCCACTTTGTTTTGATTCTTCAGTCAGTAAGGAGTCAACCAATTAATAGTTTACAAGATGGCCATTAAGTCCAAGGTGGCCATTTACTTCAAACTGGCCACTCAAAATGACCATTAACTCGCTGAAGGCCATCAGCTTCAACATGGCTCTTGAAAAATCTGGCCCATTGTTACATCAGGTCACAAAATCTTCTAGTAACAAAAACCACAGATTGTAGAGAAAAGCTGGTTGAGGTAGCGTGTCTTAAAGGCCCACGGGGAGAGTTCATAGCAAAATGGAACAAGGTTGAAATACACGAACTTTTTTATTTACTCCGGTTCTACAAGTTGGTTTACAGAACACCTACCTTGGCGTCAGTCCCTCCGAAGTCCACCTTGTACCACTGGAAAATCTTGCTGAGACGGACCTCATTCTTCCCTGGCAGGACAAGACAGCCATCGGAACTTTCGAGAAAGGCCTCAGCTGCCAACTTCAACTGGTCATAGATACCCTGAACACAAAAAAGGCAGTGAATCCTATCCATATGGATATATGGCCTTCCACGGAACGAGCCATGCCATAATTTTTTTGTTTTTGTCTTTTATATTTTCCAACTTGGCCAGATTCCTCAAAAGAACCCCACATCTTAAAAAAGGCTTAAATAGTTCATTTGGAAAATGGACAACAAAATAAAAGCAACATACAAGCATAAAAAACTTGGGATGTAATGCCTTTATCGGTACCTTTGCACTGTATGTTTTGATTGGTGGACAACTCCTCGCCCCACACACCAAAGCAAAGTGAATGAGCGGTTCCGGCGTCTCTAGAGCGATGACGAACCGCGGGTCACTCTTGGAGAAGGGGCGGCTGAACTGACCGATGCCCTTCCGGTTGCCCCGCAGGACCCCGTTCTCAATGTCTTGGAGGGAATAGATATGGCCCCCGATGATGTAACAGGTCCGATTGAAGAACTGCCCGAGGAAAGCAAAGAAGTAAAAAAATTGAAGGGGTTTGGGTTTAATTTCTGTCAAAGATAAAATTCTTCACCAAGCGAAGTATTCATCTATGGATTCATTCCACTCGGTTACTCACAAGCTCACAAAGGTACCAATTAAGCTTTTTATGCAAAGAAAGGCACATGTAATGGTAAAGTGTCTTGCCTATGGACATAACATATAAAAAGCAGCTGGATTCGACTCCCTGACTGGGTTATAAAGAGTATTTGTCAAAACTCAAATTGACAAAAGTGTCTGTATTGGGCTGATGACACTCGAAAATCAACCCTGATTTATTGGAGAGTGTGGCAAGATGCTACCATTTGATTGGACAGTGTGCTAAGATGCTACCATTTGATTGGACAGTGTGGCAAGATGCGACAATTTGATTGGACAGTGTGGCAAGATGCTACAATTTGACTGGACAGTGTGGCAAGATGCTACAATTTGACTGGACAGTGTGGCAAGATGCTACCATTTGACTGGACAGTGAGGCAAGATGTATGACGAGCACAGTTCCTAAACTTGTGCAAATTATGCAATAGCATCATCAACTCCACAGAATCAAACCTAAGGAGAGTTTTCTTATTAAAATTTCTTTCCATCACATTTAACCTTATATCGCTGCCAGATGTTTGTCGGTGGACCTTGCGTAACGTTGGCATGGATCACCAGCGCATTGTAAACGTTGATAAAAAAGGCAAGTTTCTCTTCCCGAGTTGCAGCGGCAATGTCGACGCGTACTAGCTCCGCCGTGTGCTTGACGTACTGCTGAAATTTTGGACTGTCCTTTATTCCCGGGTAATCGACACCCTGAAAAGGGGGAGAAATTCAGAATGTAACTATGCCACGATGTGTCTCTGGAGAGGTCAGTGTATATTAAAATGAGAATATCAATTTATGACGAGACATGAAAGTTAGCTACAGATGCTTTTGATGGTCTTTAGAAAGATTTACGCACAAGAAACGCTGAATATGCACACAAGTTAGTCTATACACCATTCTCATTTTGCCTACAACTTGTATGGGGGGCCAAAATTGGCAGAAATATCACCTTTCGGTTGGATTCAATTTTTACCTCCAATTTGTTGAAAATGGAGATCTGTCTCAGTGATTTATAGGGTTGTATTGTGCATTATCATCCGGTGTTCTGATAGCTGCGTGGGATTTTGAACACTTTTGGAAATATTCTTTTACTTTGCACTGACAGCCAACGATAGTTTTCGCAGCCACTTGTAGGAAAAACATGGCTGTGACGTCAAAAGAGCAGATTCTATTTGCTGCTGACGAATGAATCCATCAAAACGTGAATCTTCCAAATCACTGTCATAAAAATACAAGGAAAGCAGTTCGAGTTGTCCATATAGATACCTTGCCATCTCGGGTTAGGTGCTGATTGTATAGATCAAGAATTAACTTGCGTAGCTCCTCTCCGAGTTCTGAAGCTAAAGGAAGAAGTAGAGAAAACTCAGTAAAGGAAAAGCAAATCAACACTTTTCGAGAAAATTCTTCAGAGTCCAAATTGTTTACTGTTGACAGTCTTGACAGTTTCCTATTGAGTGTTATCGAACCCATTGCAGAATTTAAGTTGATGCCAATTATGGTTACGCAACCGCAATTTGGAAAAAGAGCCCCTCCACATGCCATCATAGCTCTGGCAGGTTGCTCAAGTTCATATAGTCCCCGCTGTGGGCATTTTTGGAAATTCGGATACATCCCTGCCTGTGGCTCCATCACAAGGTCTGTACCATGTTAGAAACATTTACTGTCAGAACCACATGAGAATACTCTGGCCTCATATCCGAACAAAAATTGAAGCTTTGCCTAGCAGTAATAGTTTGAGTTCATTAAATTCAAGCAGTGATGCCAAAACAGCCCAACCTTTGGAAAGTGTCCCAATTTAGCATAACAAAGAACACGTCTACATGAGGCGAGAAAGAAACAGTTATCTAACCAGGTCGCGGCTCACACAGGGAGCTCATACCCTGATTGAGGGCGGTAGCCGGATCATCCTCAATCAACCGATAGACTCGGTCACTGTCCTCAAACACCTGCTCGTGGGAGCTCTTCACATCGTGTCCGAAACGCTGCTCGATCAATGCCTGGCCAATTTCCACTGCCCTTTCACGATCTACATGTAAGAAGGCAGGTGATGTTTAAAAACATAGGGCAATCAATCAACTGTTGATGTGTGTACAAACGCTAGAGTCAATTTCGCACTGACAATGGGAGAAAATTGTTAGTTTGTGAAGAATATATAAAGTCTGTAGGGGACCAGCATACGGGGGAACCAGGGAACAAGCAAATCCCACTTGGGGCCCAGATTCATTCATGTTTATAACCCCGAAAAATAATTCCCAGTTTCCCTATTCAACAATGCACAACGTGACCATGTATAAATCATTTGATGCCCGTTGAGAAGTGACAATGCCCGCTGCGTACCTGCAGGGAGTTTGGGGAAAATAAAAGTAAAATTCTAGAACAAAACCATTGGAAATCTATTGCATATTGACTTCTTTTGACTCTCAGACTAAAAGAAAGTATTAATGAATATGAAAAAACATGTGCTTGGCCGGTCTTAGAAGTGTTTTCACACCGACTAAACATGTTATGTATTTATTCCCTTATTAATTGGAATTGTGTTGATACCAACCAACATCTTTGGTTTTCACGATCCAATCCACAAACTCACGGCCCACAAAGGTGTTTTTATAAACCTTCAGACCTCTGCGATTATCCGAAATCAATCCACTCTCCTTCAGGTCCTTGACAAGTAAGGCGCATTCATCCAGCTCGCAAGTGAAATTAAATTCGTCTCCTAGAAATTCAAAGAAAAACCCAAATCTGAACAATGTCATGTCGTCGATGTCATGTGGTTGCACGCAGCATGAAATGCAAACAGCCACATTTCAGTGTTTCTCATTAGGTATTCACAACAAATTGGTGGAATTTGATTGGTCAGGATACTGTGAATGAAATGCGCATAAAACAGCGAGTGCAACAGTAAAGTTGTTCTGGTCTATCACTGGTCTCGTTACAGTATTTTGCATTTTTCTGTGTCCTTATAACTGCAGAAGTGAAACTATGACCAAAAAATGGGTTCCTGGAAATGCCTGAAAGTACATGTACAGCAACCACAGTATCAATGTGGGGCATGCCTGTGAAATGACTCAGTTATGATATACTAGAAATGAAGGATATTTGTTTAAAATGTAGCAGGTGATCCAGTGAAGATAACTGGAGCATGTCAAAGAGCCTCCAGACCAGTGTAAAGTTAAGGTATTTGAACTGATCTGTCCACAATCCTACAAACTCATTCAAAATCTGTTGGAGTCCACAGGACTTGGGACAATTAGAATTAATACAATATGTGGCCTCGTCTGTGAAAAATGAGTCCAAACTTACCAGAGCTGCTTGTGAGTTTTTGTTTGTAACGGAAAGAGCACACTGAGCTGTCTGTTTGGATTAAAGTTTGGAACCCTAATGAAAACGCACACCATAAATGCAGCGGGTCCTGATCTTCTTGCACATTCTTCTGAAGAACTCAAAAGTATCTCTTGCGTCTATCAACTCTTTTTGACAGAGTGAGTCACATCCATATGCATTGTACCTGCAGCAGATCCAATCTTCAGGCTGGGATCAGGTACTTCTGGGGCATCTGCAGGGGGCTCGTTATCTTCCACATCCTGAATGAGTCGCTGTAATGATTCCTTGTCTCGAATCTTCCACAAAAAAAACAAACACGCACAGGATAAAACTACCACATTTCTTGGGATTTGGGTTACAAAATACCAAGCTTTGATTACCTGTAGGTGAGAATTTCAATGAAACCAATTAATCCTACAAAATCCTCCACTGTATCTGTCTTGAGCAGAAGCACCCCCTCATCAGTTGAAAAGAGTCAGGTGGTCAGGAGTGTTCAATTTGCTGGTAGCGATGCAACCATACTCATGCATTTTCTAATCATTCCAGAACCAGCGAAGTTCATCTCTGGCCAAAGGAGCCTCCACCGCCAAGGAAATAGCACCCTCTCTTGATCCAGTTTGAGGTCCACACTGTAACATCCTAGAGTCATCAAGCGCTCATTAAGTAATATTGGCCGGGATCTTTCTCAGACCTTAATCATCTTTGAAATTCCTTTCGGGATTTCAAAACGTCCACCTAATGTTACTCACTGTTGTCACTGTATCAGATATCTGAATGAGTCAAGTCGTTCAGTTATTTCTACTGAACCTAGGGATCCCTTGTTCAAATCTTGCCTGTGTAAGGTTATACAGACTCGGCTTGCATGTTCTTCCACAGCACTGAGATTTGAGCACTTGATGACACATCACAGAGTTGGGGACAAAAACCGTGCATTTCTGAAGGAAAAGTTACTTTTTTTGGCTTCTCACCAATTCTTGCAAGTCGTCATTTCCTCCGATGTAGTGCGAGTTGAAGAATACCTGTGGCACGGTACGTTTACCGGTTCGTTCAACGAGGCTCTTGCGGACTGATATGTCGTATTTATCCACGCTGACATCAACATACGGGAGGTTCAGCTCGTTGAGTGTGGACTTTGCTTTCATGCAGTGGGGACACCCAACGATAGAGTACACCAGGATTTGACCCTTCATCTTCCTGTGGGGTTAAAGGTCAATGAGGCATCCATCATGAATATGCACGCTACATTTAAATTTTTGGGGGGTATGCAAATAGGACTAAGTTTGCCAATCAATCTAACTTCACTCCCTTTGTTGACAACGTAACTTCAACTAAATGCTCTTAACCACTTCCTGCCGAGATTTTGTCTGTCAGGCTAGAGGGCCACCAGACAGTCCTTCATAAGTTTATAAGCGTTCAGCATTTTTTGAATTTTTAAAGAATTTTGAAAACCAAAAAAAGTGATAAATAAATATATAACTGCCTCAGTAGGAAGTGGTTAAACTGCTGGCTTTCTGAGAATGACATCATCTAATCTTGTTACATGCTACAATCACGTTGTAGTTGGCCGGGTAAGTGCTTGAAAATAAAAACTCTGAATTCATTTTGTAGCTTGCAAATATTTTGGCAGCAGGATAGACTAACACATTCTGATTCTTACATCTGTTGGTTTGTTAACAAACAATATATCAAAAATGCCATACACGATGGGCCTGTTTATTTCACATGGATATGGACGTCAATTAATGATCGTAACACTGGTGCACACCATCCACAGTGCAGGTTCGGTGACCGTAAGAACCAGGGTTATACATATATTCGAAGACCAGACACAGAACCATGCACAAGACCAGTCACAAGTAACAGGTTGAACAATGAAAAAGGAACGCTTTTGTTGCAGTTAATTTCAATGGCCTGTGACTTGAATTTTAGACTGGAGGTCTTGTGTTGGTCTTGTGAAGGTCTAAGTGGCTACAACACTTTCGAAAACAAACGTAACAGCAAGAAAAGTTGGACACAAATTTTCAATTTTTCGAGCACCTTATATTCAGAGCACAACATCACACCATTTGCTCTCTTTTGTTCGCTAATGGAATCGGTTGCCATAGTGATCTATCTTATTTCATCCAAAGTGATGTTTGCACATCAACTTGACTGGCTAGCAAAACAAACATAGCCGCAGTTATGGGTTGCCATCGTCATGCCAACAAGGGACAAAGTCAATATTTATCACTGGACTTCTTCAAATAAAATGTTTACAAAAAATCCTGTATACATGGAAAGTATTCTTTTGTTTTAGGCTTTAAACCTGAAAGTCAGTGTTTATTTTACACTGCTTACTGAACTTGAGTGAGTCACTCCTAGAAATTAATGCAGAATAGATCATCCTATTCACGTTACTAACATTCATTAACAATGATACTGGCAAGCCACAATGGTGTACAAGAGTAACAGATTTCATTGATGTCTGTTGCCTCAAAAAACTTTCTTTACTCCAAAAAATAGCACCTGTCATGGTAAGATAAAAAAGAACACAGTTTTAAAGAATTTTACATTACTGAGAGGAACACACCACACAGATGAATGATAACAATTACATTTTAATTATTTCAATATATTTGAAGACAACTTGTTTCGCATTTAAAAATGCCTCCTCATCAACATAAATATTTACTCTCACCTGAAAATAGACACATTATCTAATGCTTAAAAGCACTCCAGATAAAATAAACGGAAAAATTCCATATATGGACGCCACTTGACACCCCGTGCACAAACCCTACGAGACTGGTCTGAAAAATTCGAAGTGTTTTCTCAGTAAATAACTTGGTATTTTCCCTGCTAAATTGATCTTTTCCGGACATGTTTTTGCCTTCTGATGGCTATTAAGTCACCATAGGGAAGAATTACTGGCAGTGGTATATGGAACTTTTCCCATATAAACAAACATGGGTTACTAAACCATTTACATGTAGATTACCTAGCTACGGGTGCCTGCGGGTCCCATCAATAGTATATTCCTCAAAACAGAAAAGAAATTCACACGTACACGGTGTATGGTCATGATGTTGAATATACTTTATATTCAGGACTTTACTTCAATACCTCATCAGAATAGGTCGGGAACACCAAAACTTTCAAAATAATTATCCAGCTGACTTCAGAATTACATAAATGCTTGGACCTTGGTACAATCGTCGGGCCCTGTTTATGGTCTACGTAACACTCAGACATGCTTCAGTCCACAGTACATACACTGCATTCAAATTGTGTACAGTCACTGCACTTAATTTACCTACCACTAAATCCATACGAGAAGCTTACCACCACAGTAGAGGCACAGGTCTTCCTCTTCACGACTCCACTCGGAAGGTCGGTACCAAACAAATCCCTTCTTTTTTTAAGCCACGATCACGCCATCACTAGTGACACGCAGACTTGACTGCTCGAAGGATTGGAGCATGCATATGCATGATGCTTCTCATATTAAACCGTTTCCGGCGCTGGGTTTACAAACATAAAACAGCCGTCAACAGGCTCCGCCCATAATAAGGACCTTTTCACTGCAAAACTATAAATGATACAACTCGAAAGCAAATTCCATAAATTCGTCTTAAAGTATATCTTTCTATTTATTCCAAGATAGCCTCAGTGTGCTGTCATACATCAGGTAATACAAGCAACACGTTTTCTTAAACATTTCAAATTCGATTACCCTCCAAAAGATTTATAATTTGTAATCTTGCACGGGTATTGCACTCAAAATTCAACACCGAGAAAAACGGCAAGCACAATTTTGAAAAACTACACCACAGATGTATGACAAGAAATGGGAACCATACAACCGAAAAATCTTTCTATGTGAGTATTTCATGGGAGAGAATTTATATTTTGGCCCCAAACCAGTCTTCATGGGAAAAAAGATTTTCAGTGGAAGGGATATTGATGGTTGTGGTTGGAGTTATAGCGATAACCCCACCCCCCTAAATAAACTCAGTCTCAAAAGTGATATGGTAAAAACATGCCAGGCAATTCAGAACAAGTTTTCATAATAACCGAGCCCTAAAAGTCTGACATATTTTTAATCCTGTGCTCTGCCGCCAATAACGTGCACAAGTTGTGGACACTATCTGGCAAGCTTCCAACAAAAGAGTTTCCTCAAGGAGGTGCAACCAATCAGATGGGGGTATTCAAATGACTGGACACAACAGCCCATCCGACACTTTCTCAACTTGACAATGAACAGTGTTGTAATACTTCTTACCTTTAGCGCCTCATTTCATTTTACAGAAAATTAATCCAAATACACGTATCCCCAAAATGTGGCCATTACAAAACCAGATGAATCTTTCCACCTGCTACCCCTTTAACCAATTTGGCCAAGCGCCAGCCTCACGGACATCCTGTTCAGGCTGTCACAGTTTCGAGTATGTCGTGTTGAATGCAGTTTGCTGTATCCTATAGAAACTAGATATGTAGAAGAAATCATCAGGTCTTGACCGGTTCCAATATAAAACCATTCATTAAAACCCTAACCCTCCTCAATCCTTCACCTGTAGGAGGACTAAGGAGGGTTAGGGTTAAGACCGCTTCTGTCATACTTTCATTCCACGTCTATACCAAAGGGCCACTGAGCTCTTTGTTTTGGACATAACACTCAGTATGGTATCCTGTTGAAAATGGACATTTTAGGGATGACAAAGTTGAGGGTTCTGATTCTTATAAGTCCTATTTTTCAAATGTGGCTCTGGAGACTAGTTTTGCTAGCGCTGATCACAATTACATCGGGCCCAGTCCTACTATTCTGCTTACAGCAAACAAAAAAATGCACGCTTACAATGCCAGAAACTTCTGTGCTAAGCACCTTTCCATAGCAAATCATTTTTGGCATATACGCATAGCCACATGTGCAAATTCTGTACTTTAAAAACAGTGAGCTTAGACGGTTAGGTCCAAAATTTCCGCACCAGTGATGTAAGGCCATAAGTTTGAAGTTTCATTTGATCACCATTACGCTCTGGTTTACTAAACATTACACCTCCACAACATGATACATTAGATACAAACACTCGATATAAATACATGAAAGACACACAACCCTTTGTCTTCATATTCTGCCTTAAAATCAATTTCTAGATAAATAAGTTATAATGAATCTGTAACGGCAGGACTTAGTCTCCATAAATTAATTGCAAAGAAATGGATTTTCTTCACAAATATGACTCTAATGAAACAAAGACTGGAATGGAACATATAATTTGAAATATATTGTTGAAAAAAAAAATAAGAAATTAATGCAAAGTTCCTTTTCCCTCTCTTTTTTCCAATTATACCTTGCCTGCTTTCCTTTCTTTTCTTACAAGTAAAAATATGTATCAAGTCAATGCGATTACAAATGTTTTGCTGTTTATGTTCAAGAGGTCAAGAGGTCTCAATATCACAGTATGTAACGTCACAAGGCATTGCGTGGTGATGGATTTCAATGCCTCTTACAAACCAGCAAAGAGGGGAATATTAACAAATAAAAAAAAAATCATTTGACTCCTTGGTTTTCCATCCACAACAATTCGTTTGAAACATGGTGCGTCGCTGTTGAGTATTTGGCCCGATAAGAAGGACCCCTTCATTGGTGAGGAAGACACAGGCTTGTGGAGGTCTCAACGGGGCTGTGCACGCACCTTGCAAAAACATGAGGACTATACATTTGAACTGAAATTGGTCACATGTGCTAAATGACTCTCGTGCCAAGCGGGCATGTACAAGTGTGCGTTTGCCGTCCACCCCACCAAAGCGGTGCCGTTAATATATATTAAAAGACACGTCATTTCTTGTTCCTGCAAGATAGGAAGTGCGTTCAGCAAGTTCTGATCTAACATGGACAGGTGACAAAACATGCACGCTTGAAATCAAAGCGTTGCCATACCAAAATGCGTGGTGTTCCCAATGTGGGAACGGCGTATATTCAAGATGAGACAGAGCTGCATTTCTGGTCGAGTTTTTGTCAAGAAGTTTGTCCCTTGGGAATGTTCCCTTAGTAGACGCAGAGTTCTGGGAACTTCATCTCGTAGGTTGGGATAGATTGAAACTGTAGCGGTGTGGATGGGTCAGGCCTCGTGGGGCTACCAGCCGGCGTCTGTGGACTCCTGTAATGAAAGCCCGAAAAGGTAACCGTCACCGGATCATGGAAAATGAATCATACTTTGATTTGGTTTCAGTAATTTTATTTTGGTTTGTTTTCTGACTGAGCTCTGATTTATGTATCATTCAATTTGGTTGCCTGATGAGAACAGACATTATGTGGGTGAAAAAAAATGTTTGAACTGTTTTCCATTGTGCAAGAGTTTTGAAAGACCTGTATGAAAAGTGGCTTTATTTTCAACTCATCTTTTGTTAGGTTAATAACTACAATGCATCCTGACAGAACTGACTGGACTCACTTTGTCACCGTCTCCAAGATGTCGTTCAACTTTTGCTGCCACTTTTCATTCTGAAACCAAAAGAATTAAATACAAAGGAAAACAGAAAAAAGATGAAAAACATGCACTACGTTTATTTCACTGCAATTTGAAAGTAATATTGTGACAACAATGTTGCCCACTGTCCCCCGTTTACTATTTTTAAGGGAGAAATTTTATGAGAATGGTTTCGTTTAATTTCCCCTCCTCCCCAAAAAAGTCCCTGAAATTAGCCTCACAGTTCAGAAAGCCAAAAAATACCTAATTCCCCCCCCCCTTTTGCAAAGTTCACCCGCTGGAAAACTGAGTTTTAATAATCTTCTAGAGGGTCGCCTTCCCATCTTCTATTTTTGCTTACACATATCACCCTCTGATGTCTCCCGTTACATATCCTAACCTCCCCCCCAACTAATGCCTGCCCTCTGCCGATTCTCTTCACCCTAGTTTCGGCCGCCGCAGCCAGCTCATCCAGGGTGGAGTTGCGGAAACTGTGCAGCACGTCCAGCCTCCTCTGTCGCTCGTCCTCGGCCGAACTGTCATTGATGCCACTGATCAAGACTTGCTTCAGGCTCTCAAAGGTCACCTCTTCTGGGGGTCGTTTCTGTGAATTTTGTAAATGCTGAATGAGTAAATTGAAGCCAGTGGTGAGACAGGCCATGCAGAAAACCCTGCTTACCAATTCTGTATGTCAAGTAAAAACTGGTTGGGAACCACTCGCAAAATACTGTTCATGGTATGACTATCTTAGCTGGTAATCTGTGTTTTTTTGGTAAGCACAATTTCTTCCTGTTTTAAGCAGCTACAGGAAGTTATTCTCAGAGTTGTACTTTCTGCTTAATTAATTTGAAAGGAGCAAAAATCTACCTTTCACAAATGTATAGAAATTTTTCCAAAACACAAAGTTCAACTCTCAAAATAAATGAAGCCACCCTACATAAAGCAGCAGCGGAATTATGGGAAACATTGCTTTGCAAGAGACATTCCTATGTAACTTTGGCACCTCTTTTCTGTGGTTAGTGATCTCTGTCTTGACCACGTACTCACCCGTCCTGGGGTTGGCGATGCTTGCAGAAGCTCGAAGTCAACATTGATGGAGCCAACCTCCGTCAAGCTCCGCGGACGACTGTCAACTGTACAAACCAGACAAGAAGGTTTCTGAAATCATGTCATTTCTACAAAGTTCTGTGCCTTGCGATAACACAAATTCAGTAGGGGGCATTCTGGTCAAGATGGGAGAGCAGGGGAAGAGACTGAAGGAAATGAAGGGGGGGTGGCACAATAGATTCTTGATGACTGTTTGTGGTAGAAATTGGTTTGTTTACATTATCCACATTTTGACATGTTCACCTCTCTGAAGACCTCACAGCAATAATTCTTGCTTTTGTGTTGGTTTTAATTTTCATTTTTCACATCGCTCTACGTATTTTTGTGGGAGGCATCATATTGGGGCCCCGATACATGAAATGATATTTTCTCCTTTTATTTCATAAAGGCAATTTCATTTTTTTTGTCCTCATTTATCTCCATACTAATCAAATTCTTATTTTCTGGTCTGCAATTAGGCCAATGCTGACACAAGACTCACCATTTTGAGGTTGCTGAACGTGAATATACGGCACGGAGAGGCGAGTAACATCATGGCCGCTGCTGGCGAGCGCTTCGCTGATGCTGTCCACATGGAAAAGTAGCTCTGGTGCCAAACTACTTGGACTAAAGCAAGGACAGACACATCCAAAGTTACGAAGGCAATCCAAAGTGAGATATAACTCAATGAGAAACTTTCATCCTGCATGGCCATTATGCTAGGAAAACAGTCAACTCACCTCATTCCGGCCACTTTATCCTCCACGTTTATTGGTGGAAGCAGAAAGGGGGCACTCTTGCGTCTCTCTTCGATGACCTAGACAAAACAAGATAAAGACTGAGGTCAATTTTCAAACCTACCGTTGATCTCCACTTGTGGCTTACTTTTCAGCTTAAAACTATCTGCAGTCATGCAATCATAATGACACTAGAAAACTGTAAAACTTCAGTCTTTGTTTTGAACAAATAGATTTGATTTCAGAGAGGTGAAAGTGGACAAAATTAAGCCAATCTCTCCAAGCTGATGGGTCAAAATATCAGCTCACAGGAACAAGTGTCCTGATCAATACACGAAATGCCGAGGGATCCACGCTCACCTGGGAGATATGCTGGCACAATGATGGGATGGCAGTCAGTTGACCAATCAGATTCAAGTACTGGGCAACGATGGCATGGATGGCGTACAAGTGGCTTAGCGGCAGCTTTGCGTTGGGCTCACAGGTGTGATCCTGAGGAGATAAAGCAATGAGGACGGGTCAGATTGAACCAGGTCAACATATATTTTCATAGAGCGCCCTCTTTGGGTAATGCATATACCATATGGAAAGTTGTTCTTATATGCAGTCCTACTAGGGCAAGTTTGACTGAGTTCAACCGTGACTGTGTAGAGCGCCCTCTGTGAGTCAGGCACACCCCACATGGAAAGCCATAATTACTTGTGGGGTCAATCTGACAAATTCTATCATAGATGTGTGAAGCCCCTCTACGGGTCAAGCACACACCACATGGGAAGCAGCCCTTACCTGTGGAATCACTTCGACCAAATCCATCAGGATATGTAAAGCACCCTCTACGGGTCAGGTACACACCACATGGACTGCCGTCCTTACCTGCAGGGCCAGGGCCAGTTTAACCAAGTCCACCAGGACATCGTCCGTCCCCAGCTCCACGCACAGCAGTGCCATGGTGCAGTAGATGGCCACAAAGTTCTTGGTGGTGTTCTTGGCTCGGATCAAGTTCTCAAAGATGTGCCATTGGAACTCTGCCCCATGCTGGTCGGGCCACATAAAACCGGACAAGGCAACTGTCACTCAACTTGTAATATAAAACTATTTGTATAAAGCACTATTTAGTTGTTTTGGGATTTATTTTAACTTCTTGATGACGGTCAAAAGGAAAAAGTCAACCTGGAATAGATACTTCAGAGTACCACTTGACCAACATTTACAAATAATGCCTCTATTCACACATTACGCATAGACTTCACTCAGTAACTCAAAAACAGAGCATCTGGGTTGAAAGTTTGAACAGGTCTGCTAACAATCACATTTGATTAATATAACAGGTTTTGCCCTTACCCAACGTACATATTGATAAACACTGTATGCTCAGTGCTTGTCCGAGAGCTTGTGAAAAAATTCACAAGCTTACTCGGGTGGGACTCAAAAAAAAACCACCTTGAAAATGACACTTGAGATTTTCAGTGCTGCCATTGTAAGACTTATTGATAAAAGATGCATCTCTTGGAAAAGGATATCACTTAAATTACCTTTCTCATGAACATGATATCCTGTCTGGAAGGTTTCTCGCATTTGAGTTCCAAGTCAGCGATGTTCTTGACAATGCCACGGTTTGCGTACAGCTTGATGACATTTTCATGACGGTCCACAAGCGTGTGAAGAATTTCTTGGACTATGACACGGATGCCTGCGAATTGGGAATAAGAACACTTGACTATCTGAAGAAATGGTGGCGAATTGCTAACAGAACGACAACTCTTGCCAGAGGTATTGATTGCTTTGATGCAAAGGAAAGGGTAAAACTTAACCAAATTGATGCAACGCTGTTGAAATGAATAATGGCTATAATTTGGGAGGAAGGTCCTGGGATTTGGAACGTTGAAAAGACACCTCACCTGGATTAGGAATTACTGACATATTGAGAAGCGGCTGGAAAAAGGATGCTGGGAAAGTGGTTGCCATAGAAACAGTCGTATACTTTGTTCCCACCTAAAACAAAATATAAACATAGTTCTGAATAAAATACATTTCTTAAGGTGATGTCTTCACGATCAATTTTTGAACATATAACATTAAAACAAGATAACAAAGGTGGCTATTGCACGGGATATATATCAAATACGATGCATATCTTTTGCAAGAAACTAACCTCCAATAAACTCTTGAGGAGCATATCCTGAACAAGGATGTCACCCTCCCTGAAGAAGATAAGGACGCATAATAACGCCACTGTTGCTACAGTAATAAGCTAAAATGTCTGTTGCTATGTTGATGAGTTAATACAGTCTGTTGCTATGGTAATGACCTAATACAGTCTGTTACTATGGTGATGAGCTAATAAGGTATGATGCTATGGTGATGACCTTATACAGTCTGTTGCTACAGTGATGAGTCAATACAGTCTGTTGCTATGGTAATGATCTAACATCGCCTGTTACTATGGTGATGAGCTAATACAATTTTTGGAAATCCGGACCTTTCTCATTGTCGGTTTCTGAAATAATTTGCATTAATCTTATAATCTGAGATGTCTGAAACTTGGAGGCAATCTGGACCAACCCCTTGGTTTCTAGAGACAACGGATGGTCCTCTTCCTGCAGCACTGTACTGCTACGATCTCGCGGCATGGGGACTTTGCCCATGATGAACATCATAATCTCAATCTTCTGATAGTCAGGGAGGATGCTAGCAAAAGCACCTGCCAAGAACAAATAAAATCATAAAGCTACTTTGATTGCAAAATACCGTTCCAGAAAAATAACTTCATAAAAAGCAAGGTCCTGAAGTCAGTCTAAATACTAGGCTTTGTTTTTACCCCAAATTATTTTTGTAAGCCTGGTAAAGTCTGCGCTGATTGTGAGCACTTGAGAAAGAAATTAACTCACAACCTTCTTATTATGAGTGTGGGAGCTTCGACCACTTGACTACAGCGCATTGTTTGGGCCAGCTAGTTGTACAGAACAGTGCATAAACAAATGTGTGTTTTAAATTCACTAACGATCATGCGATGTCATATTTCAATCATCCATTCCAGTACTTAGTATCGGCAGTTACTTCAAATAAATATTAAAGTATGAAACAAAAAGAAATTGGATCACTCTAATGGATTTTTGATTGGACTGTCATTTCATTATGGTGTGCACGTTCAGCATGTCCTCTTTCAGTGTGTTACCATACCGTCACTCATCCAAACCTTGTAGGCCTTCAAGCTTTTCCATGTAAGCTTTTTAAAGTCTGCGATTCAGAAACAGGCAACATACCATGTACAGTTTACTTAAGAAACTTAGCGCATATTGCCCTAACCATAATTCCAGAATTCACCTATGTTTGGCACAGGCACGGACATCAAATTTGGGAGCCAAAGTCATCATCTTCACGTAGTAAAGATGAAGATTCAGTCAAGTCGTATCATATTGCTCTCCTGTGTTTATCTGCTACATTTATCTGTGATTTAAAGCCTGAGTAATCATAAGTGCTACATCTTAGAACCTCTCACCGATTGTATCAATGATGGCCTCTTCAAACAGTATCTCCTCATTCTCGTCAAACTTCTTCTTGGTCTTCTTGGCGCTGGCAGCAGAACGCTCGGCCGAGGAGGATGTGGCAGAGGCCTGGCCTCCTGACAGGCGCTCATCCACAGACAGGCGCAGGTGGCGGAGGAGTGTGTTGAAGATTTCCAGCACCGAGGGCCCCACGGCGCCGTCCGCAGCGATGGCGACAATCTCCTTGAGGACCTCAACGATGCTGCGCTTAATCCTGGGCGTGTTTTTCATGTGTTCATCCAGGTGGAGTAGGAGGAAGTGAGGCGTGACGTATCGATACTGTGACTGATCACACGGGAAAAGAATAACGACAAAAATGAAAGTCAAACGGTTACAGATCCTTCACAATTCACCAGAATTTCTCAAGAACTGACAGGATTGAGGAAGGTGGAAACTATAATCTATGACTACATTTTATTTTCTATGATATAATGTTTTGCCCATCACCATTATTTGTGGCACTGTACATTCGGTCCTGTCCCAAGGCTTATGAACAAAAATACATGAGCTTACTCAGGTGAGACTCAAACTAACAGCGTCCCGCTTACTAATGCTGTGTCTTACTGCGCAACCACCGAGCCTGCCGGGGTCAGCTGGCCAGTTAGAGTGGGTGAGCAGCAGTGACCAGGTCAAGTATACTTAAATAACACCTGAGCTTTGATGTGTCTTTCCGAGTTGGTTCCAACACAGTGATGGACTTAGGAACATTCTTTAAGTCGAGCTCACCCCCTTGACTTGACACCGGTTCGTATTTCGTGCAAAAGCGAAAACGGATGCAAATTTGAGACGTCAGATCACATATTCGCATTGCAAATTTGTAAACGTGGAACACATTTCAACTTGAGCAAAATTTTGCTGCAAATTTTCCTGACATCAAATTTACTTCGCTTTCGCATTTGCTTGAAGTATGAAAAGGCCTTTAATCGCGTTTAAAAAACTGCTTGATATTCCTGACTTTGTGGCACATATCGATATTGATAAAATTTCAGGATTCCTGTGAATATCAAAATAACTTTTTTTACCTGTATTGAGTACATGATCCCCTTGAAGACTTTGATGGCAAAGTTGTTGGGTACCCAGAGTTCATGCAGATCAAGATGCCTGAAATGAAATCCAAACCATCACAGTGACCTAACAAAAGGCAACCTTGTACACCATGGAAGTTTTGTCCTGACAAAATTCTTTTCCCGGGTAAACGACATGATCACCAGCTACAGAGGGCACTGTTTGGTCTACTCATCAAACAGACTATACAAGGAAGGCGCATCATGTGTGCACACTGTTCTGTGATCACAAATGGATTTCATCAGAATATGCACAACCCCGTAGTGTCTTTAACAGATCAGCACTTTCACAACCTAGGATTAGGGAAAGGCACCATGCCAAAAACAAGGCACATTGTCTGGCCCACGATAACAGACGGAGGCAAGTTGACATAGTGGTGCTATACTTCAATTTTGCAGCCAGACTTAGAGACCATGACCACAGTTTCACAATGCCAATTGATGGGTGGTACACGCACGTTACACAATGTTCTTCAACCAACAGGGCACTGTGAGTTGCCAAGTGCACATACACATCAAGCTCAGACCACGTGTGAGGGCAGTGTAACCGCAGTCATTGCAAGAGCCAAGAGAGTAGCACCAACTTGAAATTTGGAACCAAAATGGCAGTTCTCTATGTGTGCAGTACAGCATGCAGCTATTGAGTGATCACTGTCCATGTCCACTGATGCATGATCCACCATTTTGCTTCCAACAACTGAGACACTCATGTCGCAACTCTTTCTAGCTAGAAGCAGCTCTGAGTTAGTGTCAACTCCATTTAATCTACGTCCAATTTCACCCAAGGATAACAGGTGAATTCTGCCTCAATTCTGGCCGTGCGTATTTCAAGTTACATAGAGCATTGTTCCAGACACTTCCAACACGTCATCAACGTCTCACCTCTCCAAGTCTCTCCAGACCCTCACAACAATTTCTCTACAGTTGAGCTCAAGTTTCTGAGCCCTTGATTTTAATCACACCAAAAATAACTGGTTCTAATGGATAGGCCTACTTTAAGACAGGCTTGATGACTGTATGGATGTTGGCGTAGGCAGCTCGTCTCATGACGTCTCTCAGACAGCTATCAGCAAGTACCTCTGGTCTCTCCTCGGGATGTTCATGAACGGGAGACTCGTGACTACGATTCAAGCAAAGACAATCCAAGGAAAGCCTTACTACTTTGGAAATCCCCCAAAATATTATCAGGAGTGTACATTTTTCATCATCAGAAACAATTCTGTAGTTGTCCTTTGACCCTAAAAGAGGTGGGAGGGGGGGTTAAGGATTTCTTTCATCTTTGCAACACTTTGGATTACACCAAGCCTTCTAATTTTTTTACAGTGATGAGTGCCAGCTATTATGAGCCAAGTTTTAAGAAAATCAATGAACTCTTCTCACAAAAGGCCTGTTTTTCAGAGACAGGTGGGCCCAGAAATAAACTGCACTCAATGCAAGGGCTGACACCTGAGAAACGGATCTATACACGACCACCATAATGAAATCTTGAGTCAGATTGAGTTGACATTGAATTGAAATCTGATAGGGTAAGTAGAAGGGGGAATTCTTTTGCCAATATAAGAGGGCAAAAGAAGCTGACGCACCTGTCGAATCCCTCGCTCATGTTGAAGAGAAAGGACGGGACAATTTTGTCCATGTAGGTGGTGTCCCAAATGTTGACTTGTAGTTCATCGCTGACTGTCTTGCGTACCACGCCTTGTAGGCCTTTCAGCCCAGCCAATCGTATTCTGTGAAGTAAAACAAAAGGAGGAAGACTCGTGTCAAAGGTCTAAACTGACGCACATTTGTCAAAGTTGATTTTTCATGAGTCTAAGACCAGAAGCTACTTTAATGTGTCAGAGGTCAAGGTCAAAGGTAATTTTTCTGGGGATTTGGCAATCTGTTACACCTGTCAGTCTGACATTCTAGCCAGTTAACTACTGAAAAAAAAGCAGATTTGAGGAGCTACATATTAACAGCACTGCCAAAATTAAAAATTGTCTATTTTTGTTTGGCGGTAAAACTCACTTCCGTCTTGTTTCGGCGTGGTCACTGTTGTTGTGACACATTGAGGCAAACTTTGAGATGAAGAAGTCGTAAGTCCGATGGTACGACGGTGTGTCCTCTTCAATCTGCGAGAACTTGACAAACTGAGAAATGGAGAAAAGGTCAGTTTCCTGAACTTCTAGAAACTGAGGAACAAGTTGGTCATTACCACTTCAATGTGACTACTTGTCAAAGTATACAACACAGGCCTCATGCTGAGAACATTGCCAACCTGACATAAATTGAATCCCTTTTTTCCCAATGTAAATCCATCAATGAAGTAAGCGAAGCATTAGCCTCCTTCCACTGCTGTGTCTTTTTTTAGGCTGTACAGTGCCCTCTGTTGTAAATGTACAGGGCCCATTAGAGGCCAGATGGTACTCACCGAGTTGGTACCCAGTATCTGCAGCTCGGGCGTGTTGGACTCCAGCAACTTGTGTACCATTCTGAGAAAGCTCTCCACGAAGAGGTTGAGGCTCTGGGCGTGGCAGGCCAGGAGGAGTTGGTCCAGAGCCTGCATCGAGATGACTACATAGCTGAGGGAGGGAAAAGCGTGAGAGGCTAATTCATATGAGGCCATTTTGGATCCCATTCCCTAAATTCTGTAGATTTACCAACACTCTGACTCTGGCATAGCGCCCTCGCTCGTGCAGGCACAGTTTCATTAAGAGAAAGCATATTTCTTTTACCCAATCCTCTGGCGGTAGACATCTCTGTCCAGCCTATGGGCCAGGTATCCACCGATGCGGTCCAACTTCTCGTTGTGAGAGACAGCATAGAAGGTAAGTCTCTCCATATTGTTGCGAACCAAGCCATCCTACAAACACACAAACAGGACAGCAATTAAACAGGATATTGACAAGAATATAATATAAAATCAGAACTCTGAAACTTGTAATTGCCGAGCTTTCGGTAACCGAGTACCTTCTTCAGGGCAAGCAGATTCAGTTCTGAATGAACGCAGAAAAATCCACGTTCATTCCCCCTGGATGCAGCTTTTTTTGAACTTGGAACGCTGCATCCAGTTGGAATTAACATGGATGTTTCTGCTTTCATTCAGAACTGAATCTGCTTGCCCTGAAGAAGGTACTCAGTTACCGAAAGCTCGGCAATTACAAGTTTCAGAGTTCTGATTTGATATTATATTCTTGTCAATATTCTGATTAAGGTGCTACGCAGCCCTTCCATATTTTTCAGCAATAAAACATGACCCACTCTAACAAAAGAAGTCATAAGTTGGCACTACTATTTTGAGTAACACAGAACATATAAATGCAAAAGACCAGTTTTAGATCCTTGATGGTAGGCCCATATTGACAGAATTAAGATAAATTCACAGAGGTGAAAATTTCTGAAAACTGCAAAAAAGAATCTAATACTTACTAAATATCAGATATCTGCTTGACTCATGAAATGTCTTTGGGCAGTCAACAATGATATCATAATAAATTTCTAGTTGAGCATTCCTGTCCTTTTTGGACAGTATTCATGCCATTGCCTCTGTCTCGGAAAAAAGCAAGATCCCATTTTCCTCCGTTGTGAAAGGAAAAACTAAAGCGATTTGCGTCGCTCACCTCGGGATTGGCCGGGAAGATGCTATCCACCAGGCGCTTGTAGCGCGGCTTGCACGACGACAGACAATTACAACACCCTGCATAAACGTAATGGGTCATGCTGGTAAACAAGCCTGAGTATGCCACAGTGCCAAGCAGAGAGCGGGATACCAAGGAGGGAATCAGATCATGCGCACAGTGCACAGCAGAAAAATGATCGGATCAAAGAATAAAAGAAACGGCCGAAGCACATCATAATGCACAGCAAGTAACCAAACGTACCCAGCATAATCAAAATTAATCAACATAGATCCCAGCCCCAAATGTTCATGATGTAAAAAACAGTGACATTTTTCCGCCATATACATGTATTTTCATTTTTCATGCACAAGTTGGTTTATGAAGTAAACAAACAAAATACGTGTATTTCATACAGGGTTAGGGCGACAGTGTGCAAAGAGAAAGAAAAATAAACATTTCTAAATTATTCACCATGTTTACTTGCAACCGTGTTAGTTGATTCAATCTTCAATTTTTCTCTTGAAAGGCCCATGCGGGATAAGCATAGCCCCATACAACATGTATAATGTCAGCTGTAGGCCTAGGCCTACTTTTTAGAGACTAGTTTGCACCCATGTGAATGGTGCATTGTACAATGTATGTAGGTTCTGAAGCAAAAGTACGTGTGTGTTACGCCCAAACTATAGCATCAGTCCCAACTATAGCTGGGCCTGTCCCAACTAGAGTGCTACAGTTGGGCCGGCCCAACTACAGCAGAGAGGTCCTGTGTGCATGATGTGCCCAGTATGTGCCAAAGTCATTGTTTACAAATGTCATGTCATTGGTCATAGGGCTAGATGAACAGATGAAGTGCCCTATTTTAAATGAATTGTGTCAAGTGTGAGACACATTGACTTAGATAATGTTGAGACATTTCCCACAGACATTGGTCAACAATAGTTGGGCCAGCCCAACTGCAGCACTACAGTTGGGACTGTCCCAACCATAGTTGGGACTGATGGTATAGTTGGGGCGTAACATGTGCATGGAGAAAGGTTAAGGATCTGACATGCGTCACGATACCTTACCCCCAGAACTGTGGGGTCCGACGTCCACTCCTATCCCTCGTTCGGACCACACATTCTGGGGGCAACAATATCTTAGGCTTCCTACATGTACAGTTCATGTAATGCAGTCTCTTGCATGTACACGCGTCATAATTTCACAGTCATGACACTCATGAAACCTACCTGGCATAATTTGAAGTATTTTTCCCGGAACTGATTCAGTGCAATCCAACGGCAGTCAGTGTGGTTTTGCCACATTCAGAATTCAAGACCTTTGGTAATCTGTAGAGATCACGAAAGACGCACAGCCTCGTCCTGTTATAATTAGGGTGGTCACAGCTCTTACGGGTCCAGTCCACTAATTCAAGCCCCACTGAAAACAGTGTTAAATCAGCACCGTTCTGGGCCCAAAAGCATGCACGCCAACGTCCCTGAGATTTCTGCCACACAAATGAAATTTTTGTCTGGTCCCTTATCTTTCAATTTCTTTTCAATTTTTTGTAGGTTAATCAATTACATTTTTAATTATTCCCACAAACCAAATAACCCCCAAAAAGTGATTTTTACGATTGTCCGATTGCAGCCATTTTTAAGTGGCAACCCTCAACTTTCTAGGGCACTTAGGACCTTTTTTCAACCGTAGTTTTTAGCCCTTCACCCTCTCATATGAAAGTTCAATGACTGGCCAGAGAGTTGATCCCGCGCGCCCGGCGGCAACGCGGCGATTCACACTATCTCACCATTTTGGGGGGCCAAATAATCTCCTTTTTCAAAAGATACTGTGGGTGGGGGCACTTTTAATGCTAATGAGCTGGCCAGAAATTCTCACTTGAATAAGTGGTCTGCACTCTTACCATTGAAAACGTATCCATGTCTTAGCATCCACCATGAAACAGGATTCTTAAAGGACTGCATTTTGTAAAAGGTACGATTTATAACGATGATGTCAGGTCAGGCCGGCCCGGCCTGAGTGATGGTGGAATTTTAATAAACATCCAATCTCTGAATATAGTGCATGAATGTCGCCCTCTAGACTAGAGAAGCAAAGCAACGTACGTACGTACACGTACAACGCCAACCTCAACCTCGATTCCACGGGCTGCGTGCGCGTTCCTTCACTAGATCGCGAAAGGAATGGCGCCAACATCGTACCGATGAAACGCGGTGGGAACGTAGTTGACCCCCGGCCTGCCCCACTCACCAAACTTATTTTTATCCACTTCACTGTGGATTTTCCAAAAATTCTTTCTCTCTTAATTAAGACCTTTAATTATAATGAAACAAAATGAGTGCCTCATTGACATAATTTTTTTCTGGACATTATGAAAATTGATTACTTTAAGCTACATTATCTAAGGGGAATCCCAAGCAACACGCAATATAAGGAAATACCGTGGAATGAGCAATGCCCGGAAATTCCATGCCTGAGCACGCAATACCACCGTACAGGCTGCGTTGATCACACCCACGACAGCACAGAGTGCTGAAACGGGCGTCTAAGATCGTTTGCTCATTAATTGTGAAGTTCTCTAGACAAGACGGTCACTTGTTCAACGCTGCCAGAGAGGGGAACCTATCCTACGTCACTCCAGTCAGTGGCCGGGTAGTTAAGGAAATACGGTCTGACAGTGGTGAGCATTACGGGAGCAAGTTAAAAGAACGGATGTAGAAAAGATGGCTGCGAAAGAAGCAGGGTCGGTATAATTTTTCTTTTCGATTTGATGTATTTCATGCGGCACAATACCTTGTTGCAAATTAATTTACATCTCTCCACATTAATGATGAATAATTGTGATATCTCGTGGGCAGATCGTACCGGTATCACCAGAGACGATGGGTCCACGTGCCTCACTCAGAAAAGAGTTTTTTCCCAACGATGATGTTATTGCTGGACTCTTTTGCTTTCTCCATGTAAACCACAGCTGTGGTGATGTTTGTCTCATCAAGAGTGGGGGGGAGCTAATGATGTGCACGTGACTTTAAAGCATAATACATTATTATAGGATATTTATCAATCAGGTAAATATCGCAGGATGTTCAAGCTAACAGTATCTAGGCCCCACGGTCCTGACGACTGTAATATTTCCAAAACAGCATCCTGGATAAACGAACAAATACTTGGTGAAAGTATGAAAATTTGGTGCATTACTCTGTGCGAAGAATTGGATCTTCACCCATGAATTTTCCTGCCAATCTATTGACCTAACATCCTGTTTTATCCACGTCATTGCTTTTTTTCTTTGCTTTGTATATTTGAAAGCTGTAATTAAATATCCTCTGGAAATTAGTAAATATCTTCATAATAATCGGAGGAAAAACTGCATAACAGAACTATAATCAAAATAGGTTAGGCTTGCGGTTGTACCATGTGGAAGAAATATCTCTTTTATGAGTGTGTGGTTCTTAGAAGAACCGATGGTGAACACTCAACGTTCCGAACAGTATACTCTGTTCGATCGTCTTCAGGCCTAAAATCTTTAGCAATGTTTATTTTCCCCAACATTCAAAGATTCACTGCGAAAACCCCGGTATTATCTAGGGAACCATTCCAGCACTTTTCACCAGTGTTGACATTTTTGGTGTTATTTCAAAGCTGCTGGGTTACTTCTAACACTCTCCAATCCATGCATTGTAACAATTGAAGGTGTATAAAGTAACCCCAACAGTGCTAAAGTACATTTGGGTGTGTTCATGATAACAACAATTTAAAAATGTTATTTTTAACACCGGACGCGTTTTTGCAATGTTGGAACAGTCTCCCATGTTGTGTTTTGAAGCATTTCACCAATCCTTAAATTTAATGTGCTCAGAGCAGAGCCCCTCAAATTATTCGGCCCTTTCGAATAAGCTCCATTCCTGTGATGTCACAATCGTGCACGTGGTTGAAGCTGCCCGTAGGAATATATGCGATCACCGTGCATGGCCACGGCAGTCCAGACGTGGTGGTATGTTGTCTACATTTAGTGCAATCCAGTCACGCGGATGAAAAAGGGCTATAGATTACACGTCCAGCTCTGCAAACAACTCTAACCATCAAGTTGGTGTGATGTTTCCTGATGGATGGTTTACCAAACACATTATAAAATTCAGATTCAACAGTACAAATCCCTACGCACATAATAAAAGATTACGTGTGCAGACGACCCAGAGCTTGCTAGTATAACGCATGTGCAAAATCTCAAAAATAAATGCACGCTACACACAAAGTGGCAACGGCCTACGCGCGTCGATGTTTCTCGGCAGAGAAGAAATGAACGTGACATTTTCATCCAAAGAACATGTGATCGAGGGGTGGGAATATTGAGTCCCACTGGGATCGGTAGTAAACTTTCCTGGAAGCTTAATGTGTGGATCGTATCAGAGTTAAGGGCAAAAATGTGCATTCAAAGTCGGTCGACGGTTTAGAACCAGTTACTCATCGATATCAAGAGTCTTACCTGAACTGTTTATCAAACTAGAGACACCATCTCGGCTACCCAATATACTTATGATGATACATGTATGTATGCATTAGCTTAGACCAATCCCTTTCAATTTAATTTAGGAATGGTTTGAGAAAAGATCCCTGGGAAGGAGGGCCTCTTTATCACAAAATTTCGACAGGTCACACTTTTGTCGATCTGTCTTAGCAGAGAGAAAAAATAACAATCGTGAAAAATTACTTTTAATCTCAAGCTGATCCAAGTACCCACTGCCACACACCGCAAATGAATAGGACATTCTCACCCTAAGGACATGTATTTCAGGAATGGGATCGAGCCTCTTTGGGATGGCTGGTGGTATTCAGAGATTATGGGAAAGTCGATTGATGCTTTGAACAGACAAGTGAAATAGTTCTACCCTGAAATTGATTATAAAACTAGTCACACCGTAATGTACTAGCTTAGACGTGTGCGTGATTTGTTTCTCTTCACATTACAGGAATGATTTGGAAAAAGGTCCGTTGGAAGAAAGACCTCTGTATCATTTCGCTTGGAATCTGAAAATTGGGGTTGAGATCGATTGCGATAAGATAATACGCAAGATAGACGAAGACTTGGACAAGACACCACGCTTATTGGGGATCGAAGCCCTTCTGTTCAGAGCGTACTTGGAAGTATGTGACAACCGAAAACGCTGGAACGTTCGTAAAGCCAGAGAGTTCCTGGACAAAGCAGACGTGAGGATAGAACAGACAGATGAGCGTCTGCGTAAAGGCTACAAAGTTGTGTCACTGCTGAATCGCATGTGGATCGAGAACAAATGCCTTAAAACCCAAAAGGTCAAAGAGCTACGCGCCAAACTGGATGGTAAAAGACTGGAGAAAGAGGATCATTTGGTGATTAGAGCAGTGAAAGCAGCTGCTTTGACGCGTCTCGGGCCCAATGTCTATGCAATGGCTCTCGATATGTTCGAGAAAGCGCTGGAGAAGTTCCCCGAAAATGTCAACTTCCTCTACGGGGCTGCGTTAATGGCGGGTAGAATGGCTCGATATAGGAGAATCACCACTCCCGAGTACGAAAGGCTAGACCCTGGGGGCCAGAAACTTTTAGACAAAGAAAAGGATTATTTGCTAAAGATGATGGAGATAAATGATGAATATCAGCTGGCAAGGTCAGCTCTTGGGTCCAATTTAATTGGACGCCGGGGAAAACAAACAGAAGGACTTGGTCATTTAAAGATGGCGTACGAAGAAGCCCCTCAGGTGCAAGAGGTAGTACTAAATTTAGTCAGATATTACAGACGTGAAAGTAGAATGGTTGATCAGGCCACAGACATTTTGAAAAACAGAATTGAGGAAAATCCAGACTGCAATGAGAGTCATTACCAGTTGGCACTGTGCTACCTTAAACACGCTAAGGAATGCAGCGCAGAACAGGAGAGAGACGAATGGAATGGAAAAGCTCTCGCTGAGCTAGAGCAGTGCCTCGAACTAAACAAAGGACACACATTCGCGATGATACACGAGTGCCAAGTAACCAATTTCTTGAAGGAGATCACTGAAGCTGAAGAGCTTTACGAAAACTGCATGCAGCAGTCTGAACACTGGACATCCGAGAACAAGTTTCATCTCTACTTTGAGTTTGCCTGGTTCCTTGATAAAAACCAAACAGCTACAGGACACAATTCAAGAATGGATTTATGGCAGAAAGTGATGGATCTTACAGCTTCGTTTGAATTTCTTGACGAGACATCTTGTAAATGGGAAGTAGAAAAGAAAGAAGAGGGGAGAAAGGAAACAGCTTATAAAAAACTGTTGGATCATTACAAAAGCAACAGTCTCGAGCTCGGAATTCTTCATTTCCAGAACTTTAAGTTTGAAGAAGCTGAAAAGGTTTTGGAGAACCTGCCAGAACTCGAGAGAGAAGCCAACTTCGACATCCCACGCTACCTTGCACTGACATACCTGAAAATGGGCTACGAAAGAGAGCTACTAGCTTTGTCACAAGGTGGAAAGCCTGAAGAAGCGAAAGGTATTTTTAAAAAGGCTCACGAAAATGCAATCCGTGCAATGGAAATTGGTCTGAGCCAAACGGATGGTCGAAAGCTAAGGGCTGACACGGCTCTAGCAATCGCTCACAACCAGCTCCTCTTGTCGACCCCTACAACCATACAGCTAGACTCTCTATGTATCCGGTCATACAGGGAGGCTGTCAGATGCGGAAGTCTCGTTGCTAGCCTGGAGTTACTCAGATTGATACAAAACAACAGCGTTCAAGTAACTTCAAGGTGGACTTTCCTCCAGGTAGGTCTTTGATTATGCTTTTTTTTTAATTTAAGCTTCTTATTTTGTTTTAGAAGTGTGTTACAAATCTTCACTAAAGTGTTTGAAATCGGTCATCTTTATTTGACTTTCCAGTCGCTACGTCTTTCTTGTAATTTAATGCAGATGCTTGCAGAAATCGTCGTGTGTTGCTCGCTTAGAAGCAGTGATTGTCTACATAAAGACCAGAAACCCCTCACCTTCGAACACGGTCTTAGCAGCCGCGATACAGACAAAGATGTATCAGCGCTGAACTGTAAAACCATCAAGCGTGACGGCAGGGCAATCCTAGATGGGAGCCCGTTCTTCAGGCCGGCTTGGGAGCAACACTTCTGCATGGAGAAAAAAATACTCACAGAGAGGTTTGAAAATAATGAAGGGGAACTTGAGTTGGATGGCAGGGAAGAGTTGGAGGAGATAACCTCGTCGAATGAAATCATCCGCGCCGCTGCCGATTGTTGTCTGAAACTACGCCCTCTGTTGGACGGTATTGTTGACAAGTTCAGGGTAAATATTTTGGTACGGAGAGATGTTAGAGTTAGTACGATTCTTCATGTGCAGTTAGTCTCTAATTTGCCTGATAAAGGTAGTGAATGTCTGTTCAATTGTGAACGAACAAACATTTGCCAAAATAGGTAGATTTTTGTTGCTGGTCCTGGTTGTTTCACTCGGATCTGGACCACAATCAGCGATCTGTCGTTGGTTTACGGACACAAACACCGCATACCGGATGATAAGATCACTGATCGAGATCTGTGTGAAACAAACAGACCCACAGTTGGTATTTCAAAAAGCAACCCCATTCAAAGAGTCCGCACGCGTCAGCACAAGGCTGTGCGTGCGGATAGTGCAAATCTTGCGCGTGCGTTCAAATGACCCCCCCATGTACTTCATTTTGGGCTACGTTGTCGAGGAATACGGAATTAGCTCATTAAAAACACTCGCCTTTTACCTCAGTGGATTAGTTTTTTCTGTTTCGTTTTACAGAGGGAGGAAGTCGGTCGCGACGAGGAAACGAAGAAACAATATTTTCCTTTGATACTAGACGAGCAGAACGCAAGGAAAATGCAAAGCGAATTGAAAAAAAGACTCACCTTAATCTTTGGCATTGACGTGGACAGAAACTATCCTAAGCTTTGGAATCAGTTACTTAAGGTACAAATGATAAAGATACCCTGAGTTAACTATGCATTACTAACGAGTTGGCTTATTGCATGATATTTGCTCATTCATTTTCTTTGGAGTAATGCAACATTTCTGTCACACCAGGACGACAGCTTGTGCGTTTATTCATCGGAGCTAAAATTATAATTCGCTAAAACAATGAGTAAGAAAATGAGAGGTATGGGGGTTCTTAAGACCAAGATTTCACCGTTAAACACTTTCAACACATTTCATGCAAGCCTGCATTTGTGTTTCATGCGAAGAAGTGCTGTAGTATAATGCAATTTCATCTTCGAAATTCCAGACCCAACCTTGCTGCAACTCCGGAAATGAGTTCCTCAAAACATTCTACACCTTGGTTAACAAGATAAAGCACAGTGATGTTGCTTCATCAGAGAGTAATTTACTCATTATAACCAAGGACCCAGTCACCTTGGCTCGTCAGTGCACGGATAAAGTCGAAGAGATCTGCAACTTCTTCTTCGATGCCATGAGAGAAGCCACTCATCTAAGGAACAGGGTGGAGCAGCTTGTGAGTGACATCAAAGATGGCAGACATGAGAAAGCTGACGAACTGCTGAAAATACTGTCCAGCAAAGAAGACTTCGTCGTGCGGATGGGAAGCACTTGGAACTTGCTGGAGGTAAACTTTAGAGTGAAATTTACTGCAAGCCGACCAAATTTAAACCCGTACAATTAGCAAGCATAACTATGTTCATCTTAATAGTATAAAAATAGCCCGAGACAACAAAGTGTATCATTCAGATTATTATGTTGAAACACCTTCCTCGGGTAGGTAAAATGAGGACTTCAAAGTTGGTATTAAACGAACGTATAATTACAACTGACTAGGTCTTACTGATTTACCAGATGACTGCGCTGATTCGTCAAAGTAAAAGGCTGTCTCGATCACCTGATGTGGAAGCTGAAGAAGCTCTACGCAAACTGACGGAGGGCCCACAGGGGATATGTCACAACCTCCGAAGGCATCATCAAGAGGTTGAAGACGCAGTGTTGGAAAACCACGAGGATGATCGGCTATCAGCTAAGTGCAGAGAAACATGCAAAGAAGCTGTCAAAGCGCTGGATGCGGAGTTGGCTAAACACAAAACTTTGGTGAGAAATGCAATGTTACCAATTTGAGTCTCAATCAAATTATATAGCTTGTGATAAAGCATTTTTTGCGCTTCCTTTGCCGAATACCTGAAGACATGGACAAGGGAGAGAGAAGGATACATCACAAGGGGGCTCAACCCTCTGCTTTCAAACTGCTTAAAATAAGCAAGAACAGCAGGAATCCAAATTCCGTGCACAATTACCAAGGAAACTGCAGCAATTTAAGTAATCTTCAAGCTACTTTAGTTGAATGGAAAATAGGAGGAAAGGTTAAGGTGAAAGGCTAAAATACCTAGAAACGCCACCCTGGCCTCTCATCACTTGTGGTCCAAAATCGAATTCCATCATGGCTCAGATTTTCAAAAGTATGAAACATATTTGTATGTTCTTTTTTTCTTCCACACAGAGTGGTGATGGATCAGACCCACAGTCAACAGAAGTTACATTTCCACTTCTGGACATGTGCCCAGATGAAGAAACCCCTGGGCACTGGACGGGGAAAGTTACGAAACAGCTGCGTGGAGACCTCAAGCAGATGGGAATTCTTGTTAAAACCAACAAGAAGCTAGTGGAAATAATCCTGCAGGTGAGTGCTAGCAGTCATTCGTGATTGTCATGATATGGCGAATGTTTGTGTGACGTCAACTGCATGATTCTCTGCCATGATGAAGGTACACAGGTATTTTTCCAGAAAATAAACCCACAACAGGACCTTCTGGCATTTTTATTTTGTATCTCACAACATGACGTTTCTTCTCTGAAATCTCCAAAAGCTCGGCCGCACATGGAACTGATATTGATCATGTCATTGTATTCAGAAATTTGTTCTTTTTTTATTATTACGATAGGCACAGCCATGCGTCAGTGAGAAGAACTACCGTTTCATCGCTGTGAAGACGTTTATCAGCGAAGGAAGTAACGACGGTATGGTAAAGATTAAGACAGACAGTGGTGACGATAAATCCTTCAAGATGTTGGACCTCACCCGCTGGTGTACAAATAAAACCGAGAAAGTTCTCTTGGGTATGCAGTCCTGCCTACTTCTGCCCCCTTCTTAACTTGGAGACGTCCTCGTGGACGCTCAGAGCATAGAAATGCCATGCGTGGGCCTATTAAGACTTCTTCTCTCCAAATACGTATAGAACATAGGATTCCGAAAGTGTCTTTCAGTGCAACACTGGTGTTCCACAACACAGGGCGCCTAAACAGTTCACCGCAGAAAGGCCATTTTTTGCAGCGCATTGTGGGAAATCGTGCATATTATTCTGTTCGCCGGCTGGGTGTAGGAATCTTTCCCTACGCTTTTGCTTCGCACTGAATGCAAACACAACCACAATTTGTCAACACACAACAGCCAAAACGTACATGACATAATTCCAATGATGGGATTCAGGGCAATCCAACGGTAGTGAGTCTGCCTCGGGATACACTGCCGGGAAAAATGAAGCAGCGTTCTGTTTTTAGTTTGTTTTTTAATTATCATTATTTTCAATATACATCTCGTCAATAATTTCGGAATATAATATGTATTTGGGTACATAGTTTTACGACACTTAAATAAGTACATATTAATTTGAGATTCGGTATTCAGTTGAAAGTTACATTTGCATAAGGATCTGGAAGGGGGTCCCTAAAAGCAAGCTTGTCGAGGAGGGATCCCTTTGATAATAATTAGCACATAAAGTGTGAAAACACGAGAACAAAAAAGTAAAATTACACGTAAAACACATCACACGCATGACATGGGGTACAGGTATTCCAATGCAAAGCAATAAGATAGGAAAATAAAAATATACGAAGTTCACATAGCTACCCATTAAGAAGTTAACTTGAACTCAAAGAAATAAAAAACAGATAAGTTTCAGTTTTGATTTAAATAATGGAAGACTACGAATGTCAATGAGTGAGTAATGTAAAGCATTCCACGACATAGGACCTTCATGGCGAATCACCTTTTGAAAAGTAGTTGTTCTTGCAAACAGAGAGTGAAATTCTCCACAATTTCGGGTAAAATTAGGATGAATGTTGTCATTGCTACAAAATATCTGTTTAAACTTCAAGTGATACAAATTGTTGGCAAATAGAAAGGTTACTCTCAAACCACAATATACAAGCTTTGATAAAAGAATGATCTATAGTGTCAAAAGCCTAGGAAAGGCCTGACAAGATACCAAGCTTACTTTGTGATGAGTCAAGCTTAGCTGTGATTTTGTCAATTCATTTGAATATGGCATGAGACGTTGAGGGATTTTCTCGAAATCCGAATCGAGCATTAGTTGTAATGTTATAATCGCTTCACTTAGTACATGTAGTGCGATTAAAAAAAATATTCGCTCAAGAGGTTTGGAGAAAGTGGTTAATACTGTAATTGGTTCGTAGTTGTTAACCAGTTTCGAATCACCACACTTATCAATAGAAATAACTTTCAGTTGGCAATCTTCATTTTGGGGAAATATTTCTTTTGTAAAAGCTAAATTCATAAGAAAAGTTAATGGCTTAAAGATTGAGGAAATGATTTCCTCTATCAAAGAACTGGTTATTCTATCATAGCCTGCTCATTTTTCTTTTGTAATGCATTCACAATATCACTGATCTCTTGCTAAGTAACTGAGTCGAGGAAAATAGAATTTTGATTAGGATAAGACAAGTAGTCATAAAACTTGTTGGTATTTGACGGAATTCTTTACACTAAGATTTTGACCAATTGTAAAGTGGTTATTAAAATGAGCAGCTATGCGCTGTGGATCGTCAGTAGTTTCGCCATTGATGTCAATGCTATTAAAAATGCTATCTAAAATACGATTTGCTGCTTATTTCATCGTTGATTATTTTCTAAGTATTCCGGATACTACTTTTGTGCAATTTAATCTGCTCATTATAATAAATACGTTTGCCATTAGGTTGAACTTACTGTGATCGGAGTGTGCTCGTCCACACTTGAATTTAAAACACCCACAAACTTAGTAAAGGCGATGTTAGAATCAGGGGCAGAGGCCACACTTGTCCAGTCACAGGAATTCGGAGCATTATTTAAATTATGTCCTCTCGTTAATGTTTCCGAGTCTGTGCATCGGTGGACTTTAACTTGGAATGACTAACTGATACTGAAAATGAAGAGAATACTGGGAAGTGATCAGAGGTCTCAGTCACTAAAATACCCGCATTTGGAAAAATCTAATTTACAGGTATTTTAAAAAATGTTTGCAATGTGAGAAGCAGATGTTTGGTTACCTTTATAAGTTGTTAATAAGAGGTGCTGAATCTTCCTGTGACTGCTTATTGTTATGAACATTAATTCGATGTAAGTTGAAATCACCACACAAGAAGCTAAGTTTTCTTTCTTTTGAGATGAGGTCTGTATGCTGCAGGTAATAACTTGCTCAAAGGTAGCTCTAGGATGTGTGTAAACCACCACCAAGAAGATTCTTACATTGACGAGGAGTGACAATGTCAACAAAAATAAACTCCAGTGAATCATTACCTAGATCATCTATGTCATACCTTCGGACATATTGGAGACTCGATGACATATGCAAAGCTAAATCTCCCACTTTCTGTTCCCTCTTCTTGGACTCCAAGATGTATCCAGGTAGGTTTAGATTTAAGTTACCGTTGGCATTAAGGAAAGTTTTGTTAAAACCAATAATTGACAACTTTCGATTTACTGAATGAAGACGTGTCTTTAAATCATCAATTTTTTTACCTAAACGTCTGACGTTGAGATGCAGGAGAGAAAGCTTATCTGGATCATCATAATTAATTTCAAGACGTTAACAAATTAATTGTCAGAGTAATAATTTGTTCTGATAAGTTGATAAGAGGCAGTA